TATAAGTATTTATTATCGTTATATCATCTTGCTGGATTAATTCTATTAATACTGTATAGTGCCTTTGTCTCTTAACATTTTAATCTTGATGTATATTTTATCAGATATCAGTATCACAACTTTGACCTTGTTTTGGTTTCTGCTTGTAAGAAATTACTTTTTTTCATCCTTTTACTTTCACTCTTTGTATGTTTCTATCAGTGAGGTGTTTCCTATACAGGGTTTCTGTGTTTTTCATCTTTTCATTCAATCTTGTAATTGAGGAATTTTATCCATTAATATTCAGTGTTATCAATATGTTTGAATTTGTCTCTCATTTTGTTCTTTCTGTTTGACTCCCTTGAGTATTTCCTGAAGAGCTCATCTACTATTGGAGAAATCTTTCGGTTTTTGTTATCTGGGAATTTTTTTACTCCTTTTCATTTGAAGGATCATCTTGCTGAGTATAATATTCTTGACTGATTTTTTTTTTCTTTCAGGGTTTTAAATGTCTTCCCATTTTTTGCTTCCCTGCATTATTTCAGTTGAGTGGTCTGATATTAATCTAATGGGATAACCTTTGGAAGTAACTTGGCATTTCTCTCTTTCATATTTAGGATATTGTCTTTGATTTTTACCAATTTGTCTTGGACATGCCTTGGAGCAGACCACTTATGTTGAATCTATTTGGTATTCTTTGTATTTCTTGAATCTGGATAACTATGTTTTTCTAGATTTGGGAAGTTTTCAAATATTTCATGAAACAGTTTCTATGCATTTGTTTGTCTCTTCACCTTTTAGAATATCCATTATGTGGATATTCAGCCACTTAATGGTGTCTAGAATTTCCCATATGCTGTCCTCATTTTTAATGGTTATTTTTACCATTTGTGTGTGTGTATATGTAGCTTGGAATAAATAAAATATTTTGTCTTCAGGGTCAGAGATTCTTCTGTGTGGTCTAATATTTTAATACTTTCAAGGGTGGTTTTGATTTCCTCTATTGTTTTTCATTTTCAGAAGTTTTGTGTGATTCTTTTTTAGAGTGTCTATATTGACAGAATTCCTCTTTCAAGTCATGGAAGGATTGTCTCATCTTCTAAATTTGGTTATCCATTTTCTCTTGCATCTCATTGAGTTTAATTATAAATATTCTGAATTCTTTTTCTGGCATTTTTTAATTTCTTGTGTTACTACTATTGTTGGTAGAGTGTTATTGTGTTCCTTTGAGGGAGAGAGATTGCCTAGTTTTCTTGTATTTCTGGGGCCTTGACTTTTGTTAGGCATCTTGTGAAGTGCTCATTTCTTCTTAATTTTATGGATAGGTTTCTGCAGCTGTATACTCATGTGTTTCCCTATGGTGTATGTTCCATGTCAGTTTCTCTTTTCTGTGGGTGACTGGGCTGGAACCCACAGTAGGATTTGGGTCTGGAATTTCAGAACAGTATTTCTCTCCACTGGGGAAGAGGTGGAAAAATTTCCTGCAGTACGTTTAGGTGGTTGATTCTTTCCTAAACTCTCCACTCTAAATGTGGCTGTGGGCTGAGCTGGGACGGTGGAATGTGAGGTAGTAGCAGCTTGTAAGCTGAGCTGCAGATCGTCTACCTTGCTCTGGCTGGTCAGATGGGGGTAGGACAGAAAACAGCATGCCAAGCCTGATAAAAAAAGAAATCCCTTCCTTTCTCTCTCTGACAAGAGATCCATGGGCTAGGCCAGTGAGTGAAACAAAGGCCAAAGGTAGATGACCTCCTACCTTCCTCTAGCCAGTCAGATGGGGGTTGGCATGGCAAATAGCTTGCTGGCTGAATGCATCTATTCTGCTTTTTCTAAATATTTTCTAAAAATCAAAAATTTCCATTTCCACTCCCACGTTTACTTCTGTTTTCCTTCCCTGGCAAATACAAATGCTCCTTGACTTACGGTAGCGTTATGTCCAGATAAACACACAGTGAGTTGAAAATGCATTTACTACACCTAAATTTTCAACCATCATACCTTAGCCTTTCTTAAGTATATGTTATCCTACAGTTGGATGACATTTTCTAGCACAAAGCCTATTTAAGTGTTGAATATCCCATGTAGTACATTAAAAGTGAAAAAATATGGAACCAGCCGATGGCATAGTAGTTATGTCACTGAATTCCTACATGCCCGCATGGTTTGAGTCTCAAGCCTGATGGCTTGAAACTCACACCAGGCATGTATCCATACATGCCCAAGATCCCAGAAGGAGAGTGGAAGAGAAGGAACTGTAGCATGGCTATCTTCCTGGGGGAGTGGGGGGGTGGGGGGAGGGTGATTTCTCTCTCTCTGGTGAGTACCCTAATGCAAAAACCTCTAAAAAGAAAAGAAAAAAAAAAAACAGAATGGTTGTAAGGGTAACTGAAGTACAGTTTTCACTGAATGTGTATCACTTTTATGCCATTGTAAAGTAAAAAATATTTAAGTCAGGGACTGTAGGGTTGGTGTACTATACAGCAAATGAGCATTCATGGGGAAGATGCAGAACAGATTGCCTTTAGAGTAAAGATGGAAAAATTTGGCATTGAGCCAGCTGGTGGCATAGTGGTTAAGGTGGCTGTATCACACATGGCTGACCATGGTCTGAGTTTTGGGTCTGGTGGTTTGAGAAATATGCTGGGAATATGCGCATGCCCAAAATCCCGAGGGGCAAGACAGAAAGCAGACCTGACAGAGGCAGCTCTTCACTCAAGCCCTCTGCCCAGTATAGAGTGTGAGAGGAGGGCCTGTTTTGTCTACATAGTGCATGATTTTGGATACCACGCTTACATTCTCACCTTTCAGGTCAATCCCCTGCCATATAGTAACCTAACAGGTTTAGATATATAGGAGAAAAACATCTGAATACACTGAGGCTCTGGAGGATTTTTCTTCCACACTCAAATCAGCAAAAGAAGACAGAAATCCCTCTCTGTAAATCTGAGCCCACAATTCCCACTGTGGATACCACAATGCCACAGTAGAAGAGGGAAACTGTCTGGTAGCTAATTCAGATCAAAGGGAAGCACAGTTACACACAGCTTCAGAAATCTACTCCAAAGTAGTAGCAAGAAGTGGGTACATCACCAGAAAACTAAAAGTCACAGCAGAGCCTCAAGAAATATGAGTAAATACTTCTCCTCCAAGGGAACACAAGAACTCATCTCCAACAAAGGAAGAAAAAAAGAGGAAATTATTAAAGTGTCAAAAAAAATTTCAGAATATTTATCATAATTAAACTCTGAGATGAAAGAGAAAACATACAACCAACTCAAGGAGGTGAAAAAAATCATTCCATAACTTGAAGGAGGAATGCCATAAAGAGATAGACACCATAAAAAGAATCAAACAGAATTTCTAGAGATGAAGACTTCAATATAGGAAATCAAAACCTCCCTTAAAAGTATTAATAGCAGATCAGACCATGCAGAATGTAATATTTCTGATCTAGAAGACAAAGACTCTGATTTAGACAAAACCACCAAGAAGAATGAAAAAGTAAACAAAAAATGAAGACAACATACAGGAAATGCCAGATACCATTATATGCTCAAATATCTGAATAACTGGTATTCCAGAAGGTGAATAAGGACATAGAAAACCTATTCCATTAAATACTTGCAGAAAACTATATAAACCTAGAGAAACATCCAGACAAAGGAAATACAAAAGATGCCAGATAGAATCAACATAAGAAGATCCTCCCTCCAGCACAATACATCCATATTGTTCGAAAATCAAAGACCAAGAAAAGATTCTAAAAATGGCAGGAGAGAATTGTCTGTTCAGGAAATATAAAGAACCCCAAATAGAATCAATATAAGAATATCCTTCCCCTGATACATGATAGTCAGACTGGTAAATATCAAGAACAAACACAAGATTCTAAAAATAAGAAGAGAAAAATGCCAAATTATTTATAAAGGTTATCCCATTAGGCTAACATCAGAACTCTCAACCAAAACAATGTAAGCAAGAAAGGAATTGGCAGACGTGTCAGATTGCTAAAGAAAGACAATTTCATCCTTCAAATGGGAAGAAAATAAAATCTTTCTCAGATAAACACAAAACCTGAAAGAATTTACCAATACTAGACCACCATTTCAAGAAGTACAAAAGGAATTCTATCTCAGGAAAACTAGAGAAAGACAGACAGACAAAAGGACACCAACTAACCAAGAAATGGCTTACAAAAATGACAGGGGTAAATTCACAAACATCAGTAAGAAAGTGAATGTCAATGGATTAAATTCCCCAATTAAAATACATAGACTGGCTGGGTGGATTAAAAAATAGGAGCTCTGTTGTAAGAAATATGTTGCTTGCAAGAAATGCACCTCACTAAGGACATACATAGACTGAAAGTAAAGGGCTAGGACAAAGATTTCATGCAAATGGAAATTAAATAAAAGGCTGGATTTGCAATACTAATGTCAGATAAAATAGACTAAGATAAACTGTAAGAAGAGACAAAGATGGAAACTATATAGTTCTAAGAGAGCTAATTCATCAGGAAGATATAATAATTATAAATACCTATGCACCCAACACAAGAATGAAAAGTTATCTGTTGATGATAATATATGTGGTAGTGTCTCTGACTTGACTAACATACACTGTATTCATGCTAGGAAAACCATGTTGTACACTATAAAGACCTATACAATTGAGTGTAAATAAAATCCTGAGGGGGAAGAAGAAATGCAGAAGGGATTGTAGGATAATCATACCCCCATGAGGCATGACTTCTTGCTTTCCTTCTCTCTTAAATGAGCTTAGATGCCCTCTTGCAAGTTTGAAAAAAAAAAAAAAAAGAGGGGAAAAAAGAAGAGCATTTATAGAGCCAAGGAACTTCAAGGTTATTACATGTCTGACGTTGCAAGAAAGATGTCCTTGTATGCATATTGGCAAGGTTCTGACATTCCATCATTTCTAACCTCTCATGGCAGGGCCAGATCATACTGCTTCTCTCTTACCTTAGTGCAAGGGGGCATTTGTGTGGACGTGCAAACATCACTTACCAGTCTTTATCTGCAGGCTCGATCATGCCAAAAACATACTTTGCCTTCTGACTGCCCAAGCTCAGGCTGCAGATTGCTGAATTTGCTTCACAGGGGAAAATGTGCCTTAGGACTAAAGGGAAACACAGCTAAGTAAATAGCCCTTCATGTCTGGAGACTTCAAAAAGGAACTATTTAGATAAAAATACAAAAAGAAAAGATTTTATTACCTCTTTCTAAAAATATCCAGTGCCACTCTATACCTTCTTAGGAGGGTCAAACCATCTCTATTTTTCAGTGGGGCTGTTGACCCCACCACTACATCCTTATTTCCTTACTGAATCACTGCCCAGGTGCTCTGGCGCTGCCTGGAGATCATTACCCACTTGCCACTCCGTCCATCTCAAACTAAAGAGAACTCACAGCCAGCCCTTGGGATGGAGGATGCAAATGGACAGGACCAGGATTTCTCAAATATTCCCTAGTCTATTCTGAGGAGCATTTGGCATGATTGTTTTTGCCTAGGAGGCCTGGTCCTCAAACTTTTTGAAAGAAGCAATACACGTGAATTAGTGTGAAGACTGAAGTTTGGCTGGTTGACATGAAAGTTGGGATGAGTTTCCTCTAGGTAACTTCTTTTTCTCAGTTCCTATTAACTCTGTCTATTGGGGGAAGTGGAGCATACCTCATGTGTTAAGCAGACATGGTTTTGATATATTCAGAATTCATCTATATTTTTGCTGCACTGATGTAAAACATATTAAATAGGTGAATATTTCCCTGCCACTGGATGAAAATTTTGGTAGGCCTAGGGAATTTTTTGCTTGCTTTAGGTAACTTTTTTTTTTTAAGAGAGGTTTTTGCTATAGGGCATGTGCACTCTTTAGAGACACACAGAGAGAGAAAGCAAGAAATAATATACACACACACTCCTCCCAGGAGGATGACCACACCACAATCCCTTCTCCTCCAGTCTCCTCTTGGGATTTTGGGCAAGCACACACACATGCCCAGCATGTTTTAAGCAGCAAGGTCCAGGACTCACCCTGCTGTCAACAACGTGGGAGTCCAGCGACATAACCATTATACCATCTGTTGGTCCCTGCTTTAGGTAACTTTAGAACTAAGCATCCCTTTAGGTCCCAACACAAACTGAAATTTATGTATACACACTCATATATACATTGACTAGACCCTTTCCCCTTTAATACCTGCAACTCAAGACAGATGGATCTTAATGCCTACTCACAAGGCTTTCTGCAGTCCTTTGCATCCAGAAGTCCAATTTCAGCCTCCATCTCCTAAGGCCCCCTTACCCTTCCAAAAACTCCCTTGGTATAGGACCCACGCTGACCCCAATCCATCTCACTCTCCCATGTGACCACTAAAACATTCACACATCACCTGCCCAATAGTCTTCTTTAGAGAGGGGGACATTGGCCATAGCCTGTAGGCCACTGTCTCCCTCTCTAAATTGCAGGCAGAGGGAAAATAGCAGTTTCTACTCTGGTTTTGCTTTTCTCAAGTTTGAATATTTTCAGAATCCCAATCACAAGGAACATATTTCTTTTTTCTTTCTTTCTTTTTTTTTTTTTTTGAGAGGTTTTTGCTTAAAGGGCACGTGCGCTCGCCAGACAGACAGAGACAGAGAGACAGAAAGCGAGAAATCACCCCCCAGGGGGGATGGCCATGCCGCAATCCCTTCTCCCTCCATTCTCCTCTCGGGATCTTGGGCACGCACACACACGTGCCTGGTGTGAGTTTTAAGCCACCGGGTCCGGGATGCGAACCGTGGGCGACTACGTGGGAGTCCAGTGACATAGCCATTACACTAACTGCTGTTCCCAAGGAATGTATTTCAAAACCCTCTTAGAGGCTCTGCTCCAATAGCCTTTCCCAGGCCTGAGATTGGGAGATACCTTTTCCCTACCCTATGTGCTAGGGGGGTCCAGTTCAGCATGATCTTGCTCTGTCTGGAGACCATCTCTTTACTAGGCTCCCTGCCTTCCTCTCCTTTCCTTTTTATTGCCTCAGAGTGGGTGAAAGATTCAAGAATCAGTAAGAGGTTCCCCTTTACACCCACAATACATAGGTAGTGGGGCAGGGAGTAGAGGAGTGGATGGAGTGAGGAGAGAAGGCTTCATCGTGCTGTCTATACCACTTCAGTAAAAAACGGAGGCAGGAAGAGACCCACAAGAGCTCAAAAGAATTAGTTCCTGATCATCTTGATCTTTATTTGAGGACCACATTCTTAGCCTATCTCTTTACTAAATCACACTCTCTTTAATAAGAACCTAGAGCTAGGTTAGTGTTTTTTTGGGAAAAGTTCATGTGCATACTCTTCAGTGTGCACTTAGGAGACAAAAATAATCGTTAAAGCACAGCTGAATCTGCATCACAGACACAAGTAATTTTCACGCCAGCTGTAACAGTGACCACTGCAGCCTCCAGCTCTCCAGGGACCCATACTCCAAACTAACACTGGAGAAAGTTCCCAAGGAGTTCATTCAGAGGCTGTATTTAGTCTCTGGAATGATTCACTTTCTCTAATTTGGGGAACTCAATATAAACTTCTCTGGGGATTCTTCCCTCTTAAAGACATGTTCTCTAAAAATTAGGTCAGAAGTGTTTTAAGTCCTATGTTGAGGAAACATTAAGAATATCTATTGGGTTATTGGGAAAGTTACGATGCATTTTTGCACAGAAACATATATCCTGACTTTCCTGACAACCTACTAAGTTAAAAAAAAAAAATTTAAATACCTCTGCTTGGACTACAACCTGAACATAGAAAAAAAGTTCAGAACTTCTCCAATTTTGAACCTCAGAGTCAAGACAACTGAGAAAAAGAGGGCACATTGGTATAAACATCACATTTCTGCTTAAGATGTGCGGCAACACTTTGCTACCTTGGCAAACGTCAATTTGCAGGTTTTATGGGACCTCAAAATATGTTGGTGCATTCAGAAGTAAATACATCCATTGAACAGATAAAGCATTCTTGTATTTATAAGGGAGCTGCAAGAGTGAGTAGGCACATCTGCTTTTTGACTTGCATTAAAGCCTAAAATGGCGAAGTAGCTGGCCTTGACTGGATAAATGCGCCAGCTGGAACCAGCCACGGAAACTATCTCCCTTGGTGCCCATAAGATACACATCAGCCCTGGAAAGATGATTGCTTTGATTTGTGAGCATATTCCTTTGTGGCAGACAAAAGGATCAGCCAGCCATTTAAGATCTTAGACCCCACTGTCATCAACCCTTCAGGAAATAGTTAAGCCACAGTGGACTACTTCTATAGAAAATGGAGCATTTGGAGATTGTGACACCGCATTGAACAATTGTCTCCATGACGCTCAATGTGCCAGGTCCCTGGAGCACTATCGCCCCCTCAGCTCTGAGCCCTGCAGCTCAGATCAATGGCAGCTTCAGCAGGCGAGCGGGTCTGCA